CAGTGTGTATGGCAATATACCGCAATACAGTCAGTGTATATAGCAATACATCTCAATACAGTCAGTGTATATGGTGATAAATAGCAATACAGTCAGTGTATATGGCGATAAATAGCAATACAGTCGGTGTGTATGGCAATATATCGCAATACAGTCGGTGTATGTGGCAAGTCATTGCAATAGTCACTGTGTATGGCAATATGTCACACGTCAGTTTGTATGCCAGACAATAGATCTCAGTACAGTCAGTGTATATGGCAATATATCGCAATACAGTTGGTGTATATGGCAATACAGTCGGTGCATATGGCAACACATCAAAATACAGTCGGATACAATGTATGGCAATACATGTCAATATAGTCGGTGTATATGTCAATACATCGCAATACAGTTGGTGTATATGTCAATACATCGCAATACAGTTGGTGTATATGGCAATACATCGCATTACAGTTTGTGTATATGGCAATGCATTGCAATACTGTCGGTGCATATGGCAATACACCTTAATAAAGTCATTGTGTATGGCAATATATTGCAATACAGTCAGTGCATATGTCAATACATCGCAATACAGTTGGTGTATATGGCAATACATGGCATTACAGTTGGAGTATATGGCAATACATCGCAAAACAGTCAGTGCATATGGCAATACATCTTAATACAGTCATTGTGTATGGCAATATATTGCAATACAGTCGGTGTATATGGCAAGACATCGCAACAGTCACTGTGATTGGCAATATATCACACGTCAGTTTTTATGCCAGACAATACAATATCAACTAACAATATTCCCTTCAACCCATTCCCTTCCAAAACTGCTTCAACAACAATGTTCGACAATGTTCAAAGGAATCCAGCTATCATCCCCTGATCCCCCTTATCGTTGTCCAAACACATGTCCAGCCTCATATTGTCTTTGGCTGTTACTGACCATTAGCATAACGCTAGTGACCCATGGTCAAGGTAGGGAGGACAATCAGCCTAGCACATGTTAAATCAGAGAGCAAACAAGGAAACAACGCGCTCCCAGTGTCTCACGCTTACCAAATGTTATTTTGGAGGTCGTGTCAATCCTTGCCGAGAAGAGTCAATACTGATGTTGAACCAGAAGGTTGCATCGAAATTAAAATTCAAATGTAAAGGTTGATCATGTTTGATCATAGAAAGTACGAGAGGTAGGATTAAGGAGGACTAAAACATCTTCTATTTTGCAGTGATTTAATGTTTCCTGACTCTCAGGCCAGGCATTATAAAGGAAACAAAGTCTGAATCCTCACAAGCAAAATGACCTTTTCAATCCATTAGTGCTCATAACAGTAATGCGTGAAGATTTTTCAAAAGTTTGGAGCTTTGTGTGACGATAATTTAAAAGGTTGGAGCTTTGTGTGAAGATGATTCAAAAGTTTGGAGCTTTGTGTGACGATAATTCAAAAGTTTGGAGCTTTGTGTGAAGATGATTCAAAAGTTTGGAGCTTTGTGTGACGATAATTTAAAAGGTTGGAGCTTTGTGTGAAGATGATTCAAAAGTTTGGAGCTTTGTGTGACGATAATTCAAAAGTTTGGAGCTTTGTGTGAAGATTATTCAAAAGGTTGGAGTTTTGTGTGACGATAATTCAAAAGTTTGGAGCTTTGTGTACCGATAATTCAAAAGTTTGGAGCTTTGTGTGAAGATTATTCAAAAGGTTGGAGTTTTGTGTGACGATAATTCAACAGCTGGGAGCTTTGTGTGATGATAATTCACAAGTTTGGAGCTTTGTGTGAAGATTGTTCAAAGGGTTGGAGCTTTGTGTGAAGATTGTTCAAAAGGTTGGAGCTTTGTGTGAAAATTGTTCAAAAAGTTGGAGCTTTGTGTGATGATTGTTCAAAAGGTTGGAGCTTTGTGTGATGATTGTTCAAAAGGTTGGAACTTTGTGTGATGATTGTTCAAAAGGTTGGAGCTTTGTGTGATGATTGTTCAAAAGGTTGGAGTTTTGTGTGAAGATTGTTCAAAAGGTTGGAGCTTTGTGTGATGATTGTTCAAAAGGTTGGAGCTTTGTGTGATGATTGTTCAAAAGGTTGGAGCCAGGACAAAACTGGGCTACAAACATCCATAACAATTATCTGCAACATGGCCCAGATAGGTACATAAAACTGCCTCATGACCGTCACTGATGAGGATCTACTGACATTTGCCACATCAAACATCGTTATCTGACCATAATGCATGGCTTATTTCATATTTCACAGCATATATACAATTTAGGTCTTCCAAAGGCCTTGTGCAGAATTCACATTAGACAAAAACACTACATTTGTGCCTCGGAAATTGAACTTAGAATACTGAAACTCAAGTTTTGATCACAAAATGTTCCAAGATAGGTTATATGTATAAAGATTTTGGAGAAATTCAAAATATCCCACCTTCATATGAATCAGCTCATTATTAACATATTACAATGTCCACTTTCATCAAAATTCTTACATCACAAACTCAACAAGTAAATTAATCATAAACGTCACCGGATCACAAGTGTAGTACTATTACTATGAGTAATGCATTATTAATTGGGTCACATATATGAGACTGGTTTATTTAGAGTAATAAATTGAGATCGCTACTTCAACCATCTCATTACTGTCTATTTGGTTACAATAACCTTCCCCAAATTGGGGGATTTTGTCTTTACGACTTTCCTCTCAACCTGTCATGTTTATGGGTGAACACACACAACCCCCCCCCTCCCATATATCCAGCTCACTCACCCCCAAGTAGTAACAAAAGGCAGGTCCCCCATATTGACTGAAGCGGAACATCAAACATCAAACTACCCCATATAGCTATCACCACTTGCACAAAGCTTAAGGTAAACAAACCCATGTTGATTTTTAAAAGAGCAAGTTGAAAATATCTAAAATAAAATAAAATAAAAAAGCAATCACCTTCTAAATGAGCTGAACATGTGAAACGTATACATGCTATAAATCCTAATTAAGTGGTTCATTCCTACTGTGAATAAAATAATGTAATTCCTCATTTTCCTGATCATGTATAAATATTCCAATTCAACCTTCATTTTCACAACTAACTTCCAGATTAATAATTGATAAGGCTTATCAGCAGGCACAGCATGTTGTGACCGAAGTCTAGCTTGTTACATTTATATTAGTGCTACTTTGGGAATAACATTAAGATGCTGAAACATCTGTTACACAGAAACAATCAATTAACATACAAATGGAATACTAAAGCCAAACTGGGTTCAATAGATCTTAAGTCTTGCTAATACACTTATAATATTCCTCCATTCAGAATTAGGCCATTTCTTTCTTGATCAATAATCAATAACACTACTAAGAAGAAGTATTGAAAGAAAGACCTGATACATTTATGACTCGAGAACGAAACAAATTTTTATTTTTTATTTATCAATAGAGTAACTGTATCGAGAGAATGAATAAATATAGCTTAATGCCACATCTGCAATCTTGCAGCCTATCGCTCTAAGTAGATTTAAAATAATTCCCATACAACAAAACAATACTTTAATAGATATTCAAGTTTATTCGGGTTTTATCCTCTTGGAGGAATAGATCTAGTAAAAATGTAACGGATGACAACAGCTTGTTGTGAATATTTTTCACAAATGAATAAAACCAACAGCATGGTCCCATTCAAAGACTTCATTTCCTCCACCTGTCACTGCATCATTAACTCTCAACAATGCTTTAGACATGGTAGACTATATCAAGGTACGATTTGTATCTGGTGTCCTACAGTGACTGTTATATGAGAATTCCACATCTGGTCAGTGGTTGACCTGCTTGGGATATCATGTGTAAACTATTTATGACATTTTTTCTAACTAGACCATATATTATTAATGGGACACTTTTCTAAATTGCAGTATTTTATAGAAAATAAGGTCATAATACATGATGAAGATTTGGCCTACATATTATTTTCTTAAACTCAGAAATGGAGTTCTTATACTTTTCAAAATTTCATGATTAATTGCACTTGCTTATGAAGAAATGTTTAACCTTTAAAAACAATTGCCACCTCAATCATGTCAATAACATGTTTCACACACTAAATATTGTGGGAAACCTTTTTCTTTTCATGGCAAAAATCATAAACTATGTTTGAAAAGCCTATATTAATCTTTAATGAGTGCCATGCTTGACAAACACACTTTCTCGCCCATGTACAGTATTTGATAACAAGCTCACTGCACAGTTGTGTAGTCATGTGACTAAAACTATGACCCATAGTTTCATAAATTCCACAAGAAAATGTCAACAGTTTCTAACAAATCCTCAACTCACAAAACTTTCCGCAATCATAATTTCTCTACATAGTTCATATTTCACTCATGAAGATGAGAACATAATCTAAACTGGAACATATTGTGGTATCCTTGTGAATAAATATTGGTAAAATAATCACCAATTATAAATAATGGATATTAATGCATTTCCTTCATCCCTGGAATATCTATAGACCCGATAAAAACTATATATCTTATCTTAATACATTAAAAGAGAAATAGATCTACATTGTACAACTTATGAGTGATTAAATCAATGTTGGAAACATAAACAATTGTTTTTGTAAAAGTTTAACATATGAAGCAGGCCTCCTGAAATGTTAACAGTAATCGATATATCCCTTGGTGAGGATTGTTTATATTTGGAACTTTATCGAAGCAAATCACAAACATATCTGAGAATTTTCTAATCTGCATTCCTTACATCATCGTTTATGCACTCTACAAAATCTAAAACTATAAACATGAACAGAAAAATACGCTTGCCAAATAATGCCCCTTCCTTTGAACAATATTTTCCAATATGACCCACGCTCTTTGACTAATTCCATCTATAAATAGAACGGCACCACACTGACAGCCACTACGGGACTTGCCGAGTTCGGAGCCTATGAACGGATCACAAGCCCCGGAACTCTCCAGCTCTTACTTGTGACATCAATGTAAAACATGCATTCTTACCTGTTCCTCGTTAGCCTTATAAACATAGTAGACAATTCCTACAAGCCAAATGCTGGCTAGCAAAAGTAGCAAGCGAAACTTTCGCCGTACCATCGGTACGCTTGTCGCGTGTCTACTGCGAAACACATCCCACTCAGCAGGAGTAGATTATTGACCAATCAGCGAGCCGATATCTCTTCTCTCCGTGAGACGAAAACAACGTCACGATAGCTGGTGTAAACGCAAGTGCCTGTTCGTTCACCGGGAAATCCGTTATCTTAGCGTGTCACGGCATTTATAAAGTCGCACCTTTATCAAGATAAACTTGTGTTGTCGTGTGAGGATCGTTTATAATTGAAACATGTCGTTTCATGTATCCAATTTTTAAGATAGCGCTTCAAACATTACGACCGCCTGCCTGGTTTTAGTGAAAGTGAAGATATTGCCTGTTATGAAAAGTCATTTAGAAAAAGAATAACATAATCAAGTTATATTTTCGAGAAAAAGGTCATCCGGGTATATTTGACAGTGTATGTCACATCAATGATATGTATATATCACCATATCGACAAATACAGTTTACCGGTCCCTTTTAATTTCAATAATAATACTCAAATAAAAATCATAATGAAAGTAGACATCATCATCATCAGCAGCAGCAGCAGCATCGTCGTCAATATTATTATTATTATTAGTAGTAGTAGTAGTAGTAGTAGTATCATCATCATCATCATCATCATCATCATCAATAATCAAATAATTTATTATCGTTATCATTATTATTAATAATAACAATAATAATAATAATAATAATAATAATAATAATAATAATAATAATTGACGATGTAATTTTTCCCCACACCATTTTTGTCAAAGTGTTAAAAAGATGTTTCAAATTTTTTAATAACCCGGACATCCAGAACTACAAATACGTCAGTGTTATAAAAATGTTATGTATGAACGCGGATGTAACCTGACAATGCCATAAATCCTTGGAGCACCTACTTCCATGAGCACAAAAAGCATCGTTCAAGTTGCGGACCCTCTGTGGACTCAGCTATACTTCAACCCACTATGCATATATATATACATATATATGTTCGTGAACCCAAAACACAAACTGAAAATATCCTTGAACCGTAGCGTTCAGTAGTCCACGCAGTGTAGTTGAAAAAAACCTATATGTATATGATAAAGTCACATGCAGTTGCATTTCCAGTGCAGGAAATAAAACTCTTCCAATTCCTTGACGACGGAAGCCTGTGTGGGTGACAACTCCTCAGTGGTCTGTAGCGACGCTTTAGTGGCTACTCGAGATCTGTGTCTCTTCATCTGAAAATTTCCTCGTTCACATCGAATTGTATTATGGTGTTAAACCTATTCTTCACACGCGTGTTTGTTATAGTGTTCAACCTAGTCTTCACAAGCGTCTTTGCTATTTTCAACCTAGTCTTCACAAGCGTGTTTGTTATAGTGTTCAACCTAGTCTTCACAAGCGTGTTTGTTATGGTGTTCAGCCTAGTCTTCACAAGCGTGTTTGTTATGGTGTTCAGCCTAGTCTTCACAAGCGTGTTTGTTATGGTGTTCAGCCTAGTCTTCACAAGCGTGTTTGTTATGGTGTTCAGCCTAGTCTTCACAAGCGTGTTTGTTATAGTGTTCAGCCTAGTCTTCACAAGCGTGTTATGGTGTTCAGCCTAGTCTTCGCAAGCGTGTTTGTTATAGTGTTCAGCCTAGTCTTCACAAGCGTGTTATGGTGTTCAGCCTAGTCTTCGCAAACGTGTTTGTTATGGTGTTCAGCCTAGTCTTCACAAACGTGTTTGTTATGGTGTTCAACCTAGTCTTCACAAACGTGTTTCTTATAGTGTTCAACCTAGTCTTCACAAGCGTGTTTGTTATAGTGTTCAGCCTAGTCTTCACAAGCGTGTTTGTTATAGTGTTCAGCCTAGTCTTCACAAGCGTGTTTGTTATAGTGTTCAACCTAGTCTTCACAAACGTGTTTGTTATAGTGTTCAACCTAGTCTTCACAATCGTGTTTGTTAAAGTGTTCAACCTAGTCTTCACAAACGTGTTTGTTATGGTGTTCAAACTAGTCTTCACAAGCGTGTTTGTTATAGTGTTCAACCTAGTCTTCACAAGCGTGTTTGTTATAGTGTTCAACCTAGTCTTCACAAACGTGTTTGTTATAGTGTTCCACCTAGTCTTCACAAACGTGTTTGTTATAGTGTTCAACCTAGTCTTCACAAACGTGTTTGTTATAGTGTTCAACCTAGTTTTCGCAAGCGTGTTTGTTATAGTGTTCAGCCTAGTCTTCACAAGCGTGTTTGTTATGGTGTTCAACCTAGTCTTCACAAACGTGTTTGTTATAGTGTTCAACCTAGTTTTCGCAAGCGTGTTTGTTATAGTGTTCAGCCTAGTCTTCACAAGCGTGTTTGTTATAGTGTTCAACCTAGTCTTCACAAACGTGTTTGTTATGGTGTTCAACTTATTCTTCACAATCGTGTTTATTATAGTGGTCAACCTAGTCTTCACAAACGTGTTTTTTATGGTGTTCAACCTAGTCTTCACATGTTTGTTATAGTGTTCAACCTAGTCTTCACAAACGTGTTTGTTATAGTGTCCAACTTAGTCTTCACATGTTTGTTATACTGTTCAACCTAGTCTTCGCAAGCGTGTTTGTTATAGTGTTCAAACTAGTCTTCACAAGTGTGTTTGTTATAGTGTTCAACCTAGTCTTCACATGTTTGTTATAGTGTTCAGCCTAGTCTTCACAAACGTGTTTGTTATAGTGTCCAACCTAGTCTTCACATGTTTGTTATAGTGTTCAACCTTGTCTTCGCAAGCGTGTTTGTTATAGTGTTCAACCTAGTCTTCGCAAGCGTGTTTGTTATAGTGTCCAACCTAGTCTTCACATGTTTGTTATACTGTTCAACCTAGTCTTCGCAAGCGTGTTTGTTATAGTGTCCAACCTAGTCTTCACATGTTTGTTATACTGTTCAACCTAGTCTTCGCAAGCGTGTTTGTTATAGTGTTCAAACTAGTCTTCACAAGCGTGTTTGTTATAGTGTTCAACCTAGTCTTCACATGTTTGTTATAGTGTTCAACCTTGTCTTCACAAACGTGTTTGTTATAGCATCCAACCTAGTCTTCACATGTTTGTTATACTGTTCAACCTAGTCTTCGCAAGCGTGTTTGTTATACTGTTCAACCTAGTCTTCGCAAGCGTGTTTGTTATAGTGTTCAACCTAGTCTTCACAAACGTGTTTGTTATAGTGTCCAACCTAGTCTTCACATGTTTGTTATACTGTTCAACCTAGTCTTCGCAAGCGTGTTTGTTATAGTGTCCAACCTAGTCTTCACATGTTTGTTACACTGTTCAACCTAGTCTTCGCAAGCGTGTTTGTTATAGTGTCCAACCTTGTCTTCACATGTTTGTTATAGTGTTCAACCTTGTCTTCACATGTTTGTTATAGTGTTCAACCTAGTCTTCACATGTTTGTTATACTGTTCAACCTAGTCTTCGCAAGCGTGTTTGTTATACTGTTCAACCTAGTCTTCGCAAGCGTGTTTGTTATAGTGTTCAACCTAGTCTTCACAAACGTGTTTGTTATAGTGTCCAACCTAGTCTTCACATGTTTGTTATACTGTTCAACCTAGTCTTCGCAAGCGTGTTTGTTATAGTGTCCAACCTTGTCTTCACATGTTTGTTATAGTGTTCAACCTTGTCTTCACATGTTTGTTATAGTGTTCAGTCGAGTCTTCACGCGCGAGTGTGTTGTGGTGTTCAGTCGAGTCTTCACGCGCGAGTGTGTTGTGATGTTCAGTCGAGTCTTCACGCGCGAGTGTGTTGTGGTGTTCAGTCGAGTCTTCACGCGCGAGTGTGTTGTGATGTTCAGTCGAGTCTTCACGCGCGAGTGTGTTGTGATGTTCAGTCGAGTCTTCACGCGCGAGTGTGTTGTGATGTTCAGTCGAGTCTTCACGCGCGAGTGTGTTGTGATGTTCAGTCGAGTCTTCACGCGCGAGTGTGTTGTGATGTTCAGTCGAGTCTTCACGCGCGAGTGTGTTGTGATGTTCAGTCGAGTCTTCACGCGCGAGTGTGTTGTGGTGTTCAGTCGAGTCTTCACGCGCGAGTGTGTTGTGATGTTCAGTCGAGTCTTCACGCGCGAGTGTGTTGTGATGTTCAGTCGAGTCTTCACGCGCGAGTGTGTTGTGATGTTCAGTCGAGTCTTCACGCGCGAGTGTGTTGTGGTGTTCAGTCGAGTCTTCACGCGCGAGTGTGTTGTGGTGTTCAGTCGAGTCTTCACGCGCGAGTGTGTTGTGGTGTTCAGTCGAGTCTTCACGCGCGAGTGTGTTGTGGTGTTCAGCCGAGTCTTCACGCGCGAGTGTGTTGTGGTGTTGCCTCTAGATGTTCTATAGGTTTTTACGTCCACGGGATCATGCGTTTTTTCGATTTTTATTATATGTTAATGATGTATCCTCATTTACACGTCTTACAGGGGGTTTTTTGGTCCATTTTGACAGTGATTCCTGTCTTAAATCAACGCACACATATGAAATCTACTACAGCATATGAACATATAAACAGCAGATTATTTGTGACTAGTTTTGTTCACAATTAACATCTCTGTCAAATTACTGATTATTTCAAGGTACATTGAAGCCGGTCACATTTAAAGTTCGATACAAGACCCCGTACTACCCAGGGGAGATCTAATGTAGATATTCGACGACGCAAAGCCATGGGGACAAACTCATATATTGCCTCTGATTGACAGTGTCATGTATGCCAGAATGTCTAAAGAAAGTGGCCTTTGCCTATGCGGTATATGTCAATATGGTTGCTTTAATGATACGAAAACAATAGCTGTATTTTATCGCCGTGTGTCGTTTTAATGCTCGATTGTATTTTCAATAAAGAAAAACGCCCGTGGCAAGAAATGTATCCTCTTGTGTAGACATAGCTGATTTGAGTCACGTACAGTCACTGGCATAAACGACAAACCCTTTTGTCATCAAATTGCCGAGGGCGTTAAATCGAATATTGCACACCTCGGCGGCCACGATGTATACGCTTATAACCTGTTTTATTTTGACAATAGCTTGAAGCAGTGCGAGGGGAGTTGAAATTAGGCGGGATTACCGTATGTCCCCTAATATGTGACGTGAAAAAG